AGCTCAGGGCTCTCTGCTCTCACTGCTGCATCAGACAGATGGAGGGACCAAACTTGGAGCTTGAAGATAATAAATTCTCTTTTTTTCCTCCCTGAGACAGGGTTTCTCTTTGTTGCCCTGACTGTCCTGGAATTCACTCTGTAGACCAGGCTGGCCTCGAACTCACAGAGATCCCCCTGCCTCTGCTTCACTAGTACTGGGATTAAAGGAGTGTGCCACCACCGTCCAGTGGTTCTCTTCTTTCTATACTATTCAAGTGCTGGGGTTACAGGTATGTCGCCCCTTGCCCCACTTAGGGGCATGAATGGAAAGGTCGAGACTTTGGAGAGAACTAGTTAAGAGAGTTTTCCTTCTGTTAATGACATATCTCTGTCCTTTGTCTCTGCTGTGTGTCCTGTAATTCCTTGCCTCCCTCCTTTTTTTAAACCTTCTGTTTCCTGTTGGTATCTCTTACCAGGTGGACTAGAGAAAATAAGACCTGAACCTTATGCTACTAATTAATAATAAAATATTTGACATTGGTTTGTCTATAGAGTTAATGTATTTTTGTGTCTCTAGTTCTGTTACTGCTAATTAATATAATTATATACAGTGAAAGTTTTCTATGCTTTATTCTTATAAAATTATAACTGATTATTTTATTTTGGAATTCTAATTTTCTCAGCACTCAATACAAAATAGATATTTTGAAACAGTCTTTCAGTGTATTTGGTTTCACATATTTGAGTCAATCATTCTCAATTTTGTTTTTTCCTTTTTTTTTAGGTGGAAGATATCAACTAGAGATAAAAATACCAGAAACATATCCATTTAATCCCCCTAAGGTATTGTAAGCCTGCTTTTGTGCATGGAGTTTGAAAATATTTTATATTTTTGACTCACCTTATTAATATATGTATATCAATATATTTCACTTCCAGCATTCTGAGTTAATGTGACTAAATTTAATAGACCAGATTTCAGGCACTGGTCAATGGTTTGCTTCTGAAATTAGAGTGGAAAGCAGAGTTTACTAAAGGTAGCCGTTGATGACTGTATATTGAAGTACAATGTGTATCTCATAAGGGCCCAAGTACTAGCTTCAGAAAAATAGCTAGATTATTGATTTAGAGAGAGCTTCTTTCTTGTTTTAAATAAATGTTTAAAGAAGTATATTCCACTCATTTAGGAATTATTTGAGGATCAAGGATTAGCTAGCTCATTGCTAGAGCACTTTCCTTGCATGTGCTAGGCCTTGGGTTCTATTTGAATTACTGCCAAAAAGAAAAACCCCAAACAAATTACAACAAATAACAAACTAAGAAAATGCATAAAGTGTGCAAGGAATTTATCAGGAAGATTTCCACTCTGCTTTTATGGAGCTCACCTTGTAGAAGGGAAAAGCCATTATTTTAACTGTGATGAGTATTGAGAAAGAATGGACCAAAAAGTCCATTACTCAAGGACTGTATGTAACAAGGAAACCCAGCCTAATACAGAGTAATACATCTTTGTAAACTGTGCCCAACGAATACTTCTTTTTTAGCTTTCATTTAAAAAAAAATAGATTTATCTGCTCTTATTTATTTGGGCAGAATCTTACCACGTAGACCAGGCTGGCCTTGAAATCAGAGATCTGCCTCCAAGTGCTGGGTTAATAATTTAATGGGTTTATTTATTTTTATTTTTAATTGTATATCTCTGTGTGCATATGGAAGAGCAGACACCTAAAGAGTCCAGAAGAGAACTTACCTGAGTCCCTTGGAGCTAGAGTTAAAGGCGGTTATGAGCTGTCTCCTGAGGCTGGCAGCAAAACATGGCTCCTTTACAAGAGGAGCAGATGTCTTTGATTTTTGTTTTGCTTTGCTTTGTTTCGTTTTTAAATGGGTTTTGAGTGTTTGTCCTGCATATATGCCTGTGCACTGTGTGATCCAGTGAGCACAGAGGCCAGAAGAGGGCCTTCCCTGGTCCTGGAGTTACAGATAATTGTAAGCTGCCATGTGGTTGCTGGGAATCAAACCTGGATTCATGGAAAGAACAGCTAGTGCTCCTAATCTCCAAGCCATCTTGATAGCCCTCCATGAAACGTTTGAACCTCTGAGCCGACCCTCTACCCTTCTCCCCCACTATTTTGAGACAGTGGGTCACTGTGCAACTCTGACTTGTCTGGAACTCCCTGTGTAGATAGACCATGCTGGCCTCAGGAACTTCCAGAAATCCAACTGCCTCTGACTCCCAGATGCTGGATGTCAAGGCTTTCCTGGCCTGTAGTTTTTGTTCTTAAAGGTATTTATGTGGATGCATGTGAATATGAATATGTGTATGAAGTGTGTATGGGTGCCCATGAGACTAGAAGAAGGTATCCCTTATAGTTAGAATCTGGATACAAGCAGTTCTGAGACTTTGTAAGCTGCCATTTGTAGGTGCTGAGAACTGAACTTGGGTCCTGGAAGAGCAAGAAATGCTCTTAAATAAAGAGTTGTTCCCCATCTCATTAGTATTTTATAAAATTTATATAATGCTAACATAATGAGTACCAATTCATGTATTGAATATGTGTCTTTCAGTGGCATTATTACTTCTGTATTTTATCTATAGCTTTTAATAGTTGAATGTCCTTGATCAGCATATCATAGCAGCTGAAATGTTCTGGAATGTATCACTTAACCTCTTGGTTGTTTCTACTTAAGAGTGGATAAGAACCTGTAACCTCAACCCCTGGAGATTAAGGCCCTCTGGCGCTGTACCAGAAACCTCTTGAAAACAAAACCAAAATGTACACAGCACCAAAATACAAACAGGAATTAATATGGTAGTGAAACTTGCAGGTTGAATATTTTTCGTTCATTGTTTTTTGTTGCTGTGGATTGGACCTATAGCCTTGTGCACATTAGACTACTTCTTGGCTTCACCTGCAGTGTTCCAGGATGAGTGTGGAGCTCTGTTGCTCTGTTGCTCATGTACATCTCACTTTTGAGAGGGAAGGGAGTTTGCTTTTCTTTTTGTAATGGTGGTAAAATATAGTAAAATAAAATTGACCAATTTAACCCTTTAATTGGTTGAGACAAAGTAGCTGTCTATGTACTGAGGATGACCTTGATGATCCTCGTGCATTCACCTCCTGAGTGCTGGGATTAGAGGCAGGGCTTTCTACATTCTTGGTGAGCACTCTGGAGCTACATCCCTCGCCCCCTCAGCCAGTTCTAGATGTATTATTCAGCAGTATGTATTGGCATTTTGTGTAACCATAAGCATCTACTCCAGACTTTCTTCATCTTCCTAAAGTGAAATGTGTGTTCATTAAATAGTAATTCTCTAGTGCCCTAGTTCCAGCTTTTATAAACCACTGTTGAAATTCCAGCTGAGGGGAGGCTGAGGCAGGTGAATCTCTGTGAGTTCCAGGCTAACTTGGTCTACATATCGAGTTCCAGGCCAGGTAGAGCTACAAATAGAAGAGACCCTATCTAAATAAAATACCATTCTCCCCACCTCCCCCAAAAAGCAAAGAAAAACCATTGTTCTGTTTTGTCTGTGTCTGTGAATTTGGCTGTTCTGTGTTTATTGTAGAAGACAAATCACACAGTATTGCCCTTGGGTGTCTGACCTTAGCATTTTGTTGCCTCTGTTCATCCATGTTGTCACACGTTCAAATTTCCTCCCTTGTTAATGTTGAGTGTTTCATTCATTGTATGTAAATATTCCACTTTGTTTATCCATTCTCATGAGTGGGCTTTCGATAAATTTATTTGCTTATTTACTGTGTATGTACACACACTCACTCTGTAAATGCAGGTGGACACACTGATGTGCACACACTGATGTCTGTTAAAGGACACACTGTGGGAGTTGTTTCTTCGGTTACTACTTGGGGCCCAGGGATCAAACTCGAGTTGTAAGACTTGGTTTGCAACAACTGCCTTTGTTCTCTGAGCCATTTAGTCAGTCCACGGGTGTTTTGTTTGTTTTGAGACAGTCCCTCTGTGTAACCTTGCCTGGCCTGGAACTCATGGAGATCTGCCTGCCTCTATGTCCCGAATTCTTAGAAGAAAGGTTTGATACCGTGCCCAGTGGGTTTTTGGTTTTGAGAAGGGTTTTCCCTGTGTTGCCTGTGCTGGTCATGAACTCCTAGACCCAAGCACCACTGTATTTTTCATTCCAGATGGAAATGAAAAGGAAGGGAGAAACAGGCTTTACAGCCATTGCATTTTCAGTATTAGACAACAGTCGTGATGACTGTGGTCTGTGCTGTGAATTTCCGTTTTCTGTAATGGCCTTTAGCTCTAAAAGGTGAGAGAACTTGGGCTGAGGGCTGACTTTGAGCATCCAGGTTCCTGAGGACTGGGTAGTCTGTGTGTTAGGTTACTAGACTGAGTATCCTTCCGCGATCCTGATACGGAAGGAGTAAGAACAGCGTATATTACCCCACCCCTCTGTGTGTGAGTGTGCACGTGCTTGAGCACATGTGTGTTTGATTTAGACTCAGCTCTCCACGTTTGGGCATCACTTCCTTTTTCTCACCGGCTCATGTTCTCACCCCTTTGCTTTCATTTTTTCCTGTCTATTTTTGTTATGTTCAGGGTGAACATGGGGCCTCGTGCCGACTAGGCAAATGCTGTGGCCCAGGGTTTCTTCTTGAGGTAATAAAAATTTAGAGCTGGGTGGTGGTGGGAGGCAGAGGCAGGCAGATCTCTGTGAGTTCGAGGCCAGCCTGGTCTACAAAGGGAGTTCCAGGACAGGCTCTGAAGCTACAGAGAAACCCTGTCTCAAAAAACCAAAAAAAAAAAAAAAAAAGTAATTTAGAATTAGATGCTGATGGGCTGGGTTTATATAGCTGTTTGAGCCCCCAGTTAGAATGGCCAACTCACTACTGGACTAGCCAATATAGCTCTTTAATATATGAAAGAAGTAGTAATTACTTTAGATTATTTTTATTTTATGTGTATGGTTTTGTGTGCATATATGTATGTGCACCACATACATGCAGTGCCCTTGGAAGTGTCTTGTGTCCCCTGGAATTGGAGTTAGAAATAGTTGTGAGGGGACTGGGGAGATGGTGTCAAGAGCACTGGCTGCTCTTTGAGAGGGTCTGGATTTGAGTCCTAGAACCCATGTAATGGCTCGTAGTCCTCTGCGCATCCAGGTTCATGGTATCCAGGGCCACCTTTTGGTCTCCCTGGACACCAGGCATACACGTGGTGCACAGACATAAATGCTTGGAAAACATCTTCATACACTAAAGCAGTAAATATCTGAGCCTTTGGCTTTCTTTAAATGCAGTTTATTTTTTAAAAAAGAAACAAACATCTGGGCGCTTGGAAGTGAACCCCCAGTCCTCTGGGAGAATGACCAGTTCTATTAACCACGGAGCCATTTCTCCAGCTCTGAAACTGAATGTTAAATACCATACTGAATATGGTAAATAACTGAATGTTAAAGGAAAGAGTATTTTCTTTCCTTTTAGTGAAGTATTGTCTATTACGGAGTAAATACAACATTCTGAAGTTGTTTTTCATCAAAGTTAATGATGGAATGTGAGCTTGTGTCTCTGTCTAACATGAAGTAGGAACTGTAATATTTAATGAATTGAGAATGAGAGATGGAGACTGTACATTGTAGGAAGAGAGAATAGTACTGATAATCGTTGCTAGTATAACTAAGCAGTGTCTCTTTTCTGATCTATAACAATTTTCTCTCTGTGTATACAATATTCAGATTTTTTTTTTTTTTTTTTTTGAAACAGGTTTTCTCTGTGTAGTCTTGGAGTCTGTCCTTGGAACTTGCTCAGTAGACCAGGCTGGCCTCGAACTCACAGAGATCCCCCTGCCTAACTCACAAAGAGCCACCTGCCTCTGCCTCCCCAGTGTTAAAATTAAAGGCATGTGTCACCACTGCCCAGCAAGCTTTGAATTTCTTACATGGTGCTAATGCATGAAAATAGAGACTTGAATTGGTTTTATTAGTGTATATAGTACTAGAGTACTACAAATCACTTAAATGTTTTTAATTGATGCAGAGTGTGACTCAGAAAGACCACTGTGTCATTGCACTGCTCCCCAACATTGCAGTATTGTGTATTTACGCTGTGGTGTGCATGTGTAGATCAGAGGACAACTTGTAGATTGAGTTCTCAATTTTTACCTTTTCATGGGTTGTGGGGATTTGAATTCGTGCTGTTAGGCCCCACAGCACAAGTTTTGTTTGTTTGTTTGTTTGTTTGTTTGTTTGTTTGAGAGTCTCACGGGCTGTGCATGGTATTATATTCCAACTTTTCTGTGAGTTCCAGGCTAGCCAAAGCTGCATAGTAGAGAGACTGTATCCCAAGGGGGTGTCTGTCCAATTGTGTTGACCGAGTTGGCTTCCCAGAGATAGCCTTTCTCTGCCTCCCAAGTCCTGGGGTTTGAAGTTGGGAAACACCACCTCGGACTGACTCATCAAGACCTTACAATTACTGAGCCTTTTCAGCCACTCTTAGTTTGCTTGCTTGCTTGTTTTGTTTTGTTAATTTGTTTCCTTGTTTATTTTGAGACACAGTTTTACTATGTATCTCTGGCTGCCCTGAAACTTGGTGTGTACACCATGCTTGCCAAGTCTTCTCAGCAGTCCACCTGCCTCTGCCTCCCAAGTGGGCGTAAGATCTGGTACCTGATTTGACTTTTACACTCATTTCAGGCAGGCCTAGAACTCTGCACAGATATTGTGACTAGCCCTCCCAGATGCCGGGACGGGAGGTGTCCCACCCACTTGGCTCTGTTTCTTAACTTCATCCCTGCCAACTTTTTGTTTGTTTGTTTGTTAAGTTTTAGATTTCTGTAAACTTAGTTCAGGAATTAAAGAAATGGAAGAAACATAGGTATTTGGTGGATAGTAGGTGGGTTTAGAACAGTGGCGTGGAAAGCGTGTGGTTGCTTAGGGATAACATAAGGCTCAGGAAAGGCAGAGCAAGAAAGGAGGGAAAAGGTGATAAAAACAATAAGAAAAAAATAGGGGATGGAATGCTGGTGTACACAAACATGTTTTATTAGTCTGTCACTGCTGAATGGGTAGGTGATAACTGAGTGTTTTCTTGAAGAAAAATTGTCTTTATTGGACCATCTAAATTCAAATTTTTTTCACATCAGAATAAGAATTAATTTAACAGTTTCCTTGCTCCATTTAATTTCTTGTTCTGTACATCTATATATCTTCAATAAATATGTATGGGGGTGGGGCTGGAGAGATGGCTCAGAGATTAAGAGCACTGGCTGCTCCTCCAGAGGTCCTGAGTTCAATTCCCAGCAACCACATGGTGGCTCCCAACCATCTGTAATGAGATCTGGTGCCCTCTTTTGGCCTGCAGGGATATATGCAGACAGAACACTATATACATAATACATAAGTAAATCTTTAAAAAAAGAATTGGGCCATCACAAAGTGACAGGGAATGCTTAGTTTCATTCTGGAATAATGAAATTGTTTGGGAACTGGACAGATTGCTCAGTGGTTAAGAGCACTTGCTACTCTTATAAAGAACCCGAGTTCACTTGCCTAAATGCTCTTTCTGGCATCTTTAGCAGTAATTTAAAATTCTGTTTTACAAAAGCTTGCTGTTAGTGCAGCTTTAAAGTTTCTCCACCCTGGAGGCTGAGACAGGAGGATCCTGAGTTTGGGGTCATTATCTTAAAAACCAAAGGAAACAAAAATACTGAATATTTCATTTTTGTCACGAAGGCTGAAGCACTTTAAGATTACAGAGCAGAGGCTGGAGAGATGGCTCAGGGTAAGAACACTGGCTGCTGCCCTTCCAGTGGGCCTGAGTTCAAGTTCTGCATCCACATGGGGGCTCACAACCATCTATGTTGAGATCTGATGCCCTCTTCTGGCATAAAGACATACATGCAGATTGAGCACTCATATACGTGAAATAAATCAATCAATCTAAAAGAAAAAGATTGTAGCTGGGTGTGGTGGAGCACACCTTTAATCCTAGCACTGGGGAGACAGAGGTAGGCCATCTGTTGGCCAGCCTGATCTATACAGTTCCAGACCTATCAGGGATACAGAGTGAGACTTTGTCTTAAAATAAATTATCAAAAATTATAGAGTGCTATGCTTTCCTTGAGATAATTGCTGTTAATTTCAGTGATTATTTGATGTCTTTATGAGTTTAATTTATTGATTGGTTATTAAGTTGGACATTTTTGTGTGTATATTTGTTACAAAGAAATGGTTGCTGGAGGGCTGCCTGGTTCAGCTTGAAGCTCTGGCTGCTCTTTCGGAGAATCGGAGTTCATTTCTAGGCACATATCTTAGGCAGCTTACAATTTCCTGCAATTCCAGCTCCCAGGGATCTGACACCCATTTCTAGCCTTTTCAGGGACCCATCCAAGTGTAGTCAGAGTGCTGTGCATAAGTCCTGTCTGCCTTACTTGACTTTGTGTGAATTTGAAAGAGCTCTTGTTTATCCCTGTGACACAAATTTGCCGTAATTGTCCGTATATACAGTAAGTGTCGGGTACTTTAGACACTGAAGATGCTAAAGCAGGTGGTAGAGACAGAACCTTTCATTAACGACCAGACAAGACAGATGACAGCTGTGAAGTCAGTTATATGCAGCAGGGTGAAGTAAAGGATTCTGTGGGAATAGATTAGGAAGAAGTGAAAAATAATGGAAGCTCAAAGTATGAGTTTAGTGCAGGGGAGGAGAGCATAGAAGAATGGCACTGAGAAAAGAAATAGCACACCAAAGTTCAGGCAGAACACCAGCACCATATCCTTGAATTCCCGGGATAGTGAGGCAGAGAGTCGAGTATGGGATTTAGGGGGATCTGAGTTGTGGTCTAAAGTCAAGCTAATAGCATGATCTTACATTGGACGGATGAGCTGGCCTGTCACAGATAGTCAGGTCAGGAGTGAGCATTCTTTAGAGCTATTGAGAGAAGGTAGGTATCATTGAATACAGTGTTTTTGTAGCCGTGGCGGCATGAACTGTCTATGTAAATCAGGCTGGCCTCCAACTCTCACAGAGGTCTGGCTTCTGGTCCCCCAATGCTAGAATTAAAGGTGTCTGCTACCACGCCCATCTTGATTTTAGTTTTCTTAAACTCTAAAATTAAGTTTCTCAGTAGTGTTAGACATGTATTAGTAGGCCTTCAAATATTTGAATTATTTAATAATGTTTGAGAATAACTTGTATAGAGAAATTAGGACCATTATAAGCCATTAGTACCTATGCATCCATTTTTCTTTAAGCCTGTTTTGTACCTTACCTCATACTTGGGTAGGTATCATTTAATGTCTCTATTTGGTTTTACATGCTATTTTATTGGATTTTATAGTCTTTTATTTTTCACATCTAGCATAATACTAGGTACAGTGTAAACATCTAATAATTGTTAGTTGTGTTTGCATGTAGAATGTACATTAAAAGTTTTAAACATATGTCATTGACCTTTGGCCTACTGAAATCTTTTTTCACTAAATACCTCCTTGGAAAAATGATGCCATAAAAGTATATAATTTCTTTTGGAATATCATTTTCTTCTAGTTCTGTTTTATCTTTACATACTGGGGTTTTTGTTTTGTTTTGTTTTTCCCTTGTTACTTAAAAACTCAAGTGTGCTTTATATTCTAGGTCCGGTTTATCACTAAAATATGGCATCCTAATATTAGTTCCGTCACAGGGGCTATTTGTTTGGATATCCTGAAAGATCAATGGTAAGAGACTTCTGAATTTGCTCTCTTCTCTGTCTCATAGGAGAACCAAGACTAAGAATGTGAAGTGTGTTAATTCTCCAAAACTTAAGTTATACTTTAAAGAGCTGTCATGATCTCAATCAAAATATACTTTCAACTAGGTACTTAAGAGACTTTTTGTAAACTGCTGCTTAAAGTATGGACACTTTTAAAGAAATGTCAGGTGCTAATTTTACATTTTAAAACTTGGGTTCCATTTCTTATTTTGGTAATTTCCTTCCTGTTTAGAAGGTGTTTGTAAGAGACTAAAAATGTAACTTGAAGCTGTCACCTCTCTCGTCGAGTTGTATTCATTGAGCGCAGTTTGGCTCTCGGGTGGCACCAGGTCTTTTGCAAGTAGTATTTTCTTTTACCTAAGTCTTCTTTCATGTCATTTGCTTAGTTACTGTGTTCGTGTATTTTTGAGTTTGATTTTTAAGTTTTAAGTGTGTGTGTGTGTGTGTGTGTGTGTGTGTGTGTGTGTGTGTGTGTGTGTGTGTATGCGCGTGTGCGCACTTGCCCCGGTGGAGGTCAGACGAAGCCTGTAGATGTCTGTGCTCTGCGCTCTCTGGGCCCCAGGACCGAGCTCAAGGTCGCAGTCTCGGGGAAGCAGCAAGCACCTTCGCTTGCTGAATTATTTCACTGGTGCAGCTGCGGGCACAAGCACACTGGTTTGCTTTGTTTGCTTGTTTGTTTTCTCTTCAAGAAGGTTGTGCTGTGCAGCCCACGCTAGCCCTGGAACTGGAGCTCTTTTCTTGCCTTACGCTTCACAGTGCTGGGATTATAGGAGCATGTTCATCGCTCTTGGTAGTGGTTGAGTATTTCAGAGTTCCTGTTTCTCTAGCCTTCAGATTTAAATCCCTATTCCATTTGTGAGGTTGTATTGTTATAAGCATATTTGTGCCCCTTGGCTTTCTTATTTGTGAGATGACACTTATGTTTACTTTACTGGCCTGAGAGAATGAAGTACATTGGTTCATGTGATATATTTAGAATGGAGCCTGGTATATTTTAGCAGTAATTAATGTGATGGACTAGATTAGCCATTCAATGTCCTTACTCATAATTAGCACATAATCTTACTAATGGAAAAACTGTCTAGAATTATAAAATGAAATTGAGGAAGGGAATAGTCACCTGTGATTCCAGCACTTGGAGGACTGAGGTAGGATGATTGTTAAGTCTGAAGCTAGCCTGGGCTACATAGTGAGATCCTGCTCTGGAAGGGGAAAAATAAAAGTATGTGATGTCACCAAACACAGGAAAACAGTGCTGTTGGCAAGAATACGCAGAGCACTGATCTTACAGAAATCATGTATTAGTGTTCAGATGTTTATACTTGGAGCTCTGATCTTACAGAAATCATGCATTAGTGCTCAGATGTTTATACGCGGAGCACTGATCTTACAGAAATCATGCATTAGTGCTCAGATGTTTATACTTGGAGCTCTGATCTTACAGAAATCATGCATTAGTGCTCAGATGTTTATACGCGGAGCACTGATCTTACAGAAATCATGTATTAGTGCTCAGATCTTTAAACTTGTGTTCACCTTTCGAAGGGAAAGAAAGTGATAGTTGGTAGTACTCATACTGCAGTCATGACAGTTAGTAGATGGGCAGTTTGGTTTTTTTTCTGTGACAGTAGGATTCCTGTTTTAGTTTCTTTTTGTTCGAAGTTTCCTGATTTATTTTAGAATATACGTAAGTAGTCACTCTTTGATTTGTGACTGTTTTGCCAGCGTCTTAAAAGTCAAGGTCTCGTGGTTTGGTTTTGTTTTTTCCATAACATTTTTATTTACAGCCTCTTCTAACTTCACGTCTTAGTGATGTCAGTGCATATTTGCATAATTAGAGATGTTCTGTTTTTATTTTGCTTCCAGGAAGTCCATTCTGGCTTTCTTTTCCTGTTTCCACTCCATAACCTGCTTGTTTTTCTGTGTCTCTGGGGTCTCTGCCCATGAGAATGCTGCAGGGGTCAGGTCTAGATTCTCCTTCTCCATCTTTGCTACTCTGAGGTCATATTTTCTCGTTTACAAACTGTCAAGTTACAAATATCCTCCTTATTTTCCTATTATATTTCTTTTTACATTTTAAACTATTTGTGTCTGTGTGAACATGGAATAACAGAGCATGGAGAGAGGCAGAGGTCAGCCTCTAGCAATCAGTACCTTTCTCCCATTAAATGCCTCCACTCACTGAGCCATCTTATGAGCCAGCATATGAGTACGTTCTTACACTCCAAGCTCATGTTAATGTCTACTTATCTGTATTTGAATTACATAATAAACATCTTGAGTGTGTTAAAAACCAACCATCCCACTGTTCCTGGAGTTGGTGATGCACACCTTTGGTAATGTCAGCATCTAGGAGGTGGGGCAGGCAGGTCTTTGTTAGTTAGAGGCTGGTCTGCTCTACACAGCCAGTTCTACTACATCATGAAATTCTTTGGGGACTGGAGAGATGACTCAACAGTTAAAAACACTGGGTGTTCTTCCAGAGAATTTAGGTTGGAATCTCAGCACCCACATGCTGTAGTGCCGTGACATTTGGTGCCCTTTTCTGGCTCAGGGAGCATTAAGCTCACACATGGTACACAGACATACCTCCAGGCAAAACATACCCATACACATAAGTAAACGTAAAGAAACAAAGAAAAATCTTTTGGCTTCTTTCCATAGTCTTCCTCATTGAAGCTCTTAGCAGTTGTACCTCTGGTCAGTTTCTTAGGTGGAAGCCTCATTATGATCTTGGAATTTCATTCTTTTCTTTTTTAAATTTAGACAGGGTCTCACTGTAGCATTGGCTACCCCGGATATTACTCTAGATCAGCCTGGCCTCGAACTCACAGAGATCCACTATCTCTGCCTCCCCATGCTCAGGTTAAAGGCGTGCGCCACCGCACCAGGCTTGGCTTTTCTTTTCTCTGGTGCTGTGTATCTGTCTACACCAATCTGTTAGTACACTTGTGGTCTCACAGGCAGCTTCCCTGCTGTCCTTTGGGTTCCTTTTGTCTGAATGACTGCAGTGGCCTGTCCCTCTCAGTCTCCCTGCTCTACGCAGGCCATTTGCAGCATTATCACGAAAGCTGTGTTCATTTGATAAAGATAGGTCTAAAGTGTCTGTCTGTCTGTCTGTTCGTCTGTGTTTGTGTACGTGTGTATGTGTGCCGTCTGAGGCGTCCTCTCCTACCATATGGGCCTTGGGGATTCAATTCAGGCTGTCAAGCTCTGGCAGACCCCGTTGGTCCCGTCGTCGCCCACCCCCCATCCCTGGTTTTTCATTGTTTTTGCCTTGCTGGTGATTGAACTTTGGGCTGCAGGCCAGGCCAGTGCTGGACTATCGGAGAGTCATCAGTGTGTGTAGGTGGAGTGTGAGCACGGGCCTCGGGCATGCGGGAGGTGAGAGGACAGACAACTTGTGGAGCCCTTCTTCCTCTCCTTCCCGTCGCCTTCCTTCTCTGTCGGGCACGGAGTTGGTTCCAGCCTTGCACTGCGGCCTCTTCACCCGCTGAGCCATCTTGCCGACCCCAGCTAATAGATTTTGAATTTTCATATTTCTGTTTGCCTTTTAGTACTTCCTAAAATAAAATTAATTATACGTATGAAATCCTGAAAAGCTCAGTGAAGTACAGGTTTAATTAGCACTTGTGACAAGAATGAGGTTTCTTCAGATACTTAATTTTTTACATTAGCAAATTTAGATTTTAAAGATTAATATAAAACAATAAAAATATGTGTTATTGCCATCAAAGATAGTTTCTAGGGTTGGCTTTGTTTGGTATTTGTAGCAGTTATTTCAAAGTGTCTTGAGTATCATTAGCCAGTATTGCACCATTCATTCATTTACCTGTCATCTATTTATTTATTAGGTGAGATCTCATAAAGACCAGGCTAGCCTGAAAGACAAAGATCTGTCTGCCTCTCCTCCTAAATGTTGGGATTTAAGTGTGTACCACCATACCTGGCTAGTATTACTTAAAAAAATTAATACCTTTTATTTTGAGAATTTCATAATGTATACACATTGAAATATGATTATATCCCTTCTCATTTCTCCCCTTCAGCTTCCTCAATATCCCCTGCCATCTTTTCCCAACTTCATGTCTTCATGCTTCCTTTTTTATTTATTCATTTATTCATTCATTCATTCATTCATTCATTTATCAGTTTATTTGTTTATCACCAACCTCCTGTCTTTTTTTTTTTGGGACAGGAAGCTACGTTTTAAAAAGTGGTGTGAGAATACAAGTGTATCAGTTATTTTTCTGTTGATGTGATAAAATATCATGACCACAAGCAACTTAGAAATGAAAGTGTTTATTTTATGTTATGGTTCCAGAAGGCAAGAATCCATAATGGCAGGGAGCCGAGGGCAGCAGACAGCCTGCCAGTGCAGCCTCTTACCATTTCACTGGCATACCAGCAAACAGTGAACGGGAAGAGGGGAGCTGCATCAGCTCACTCCCATGACTCTCCTCCAGCAGGGCTCTACATTCTCAAAGTACCGTAAACCTTCCAAACAGCACTCTCAACTCGGGACCAAGTGTTGAAATACATGTCACTATGTAGGACATATTTTCATTCAAGTCGTTACAACACATGAACAAACTCTCAGGCGTGGTTTGCGAGTCTTCCTCCTTAGTTCATGTTAGGCATGTTGCACATTCAGCCCAGACAACTCTGTTGAGTCAACACTTTTGGAGTCCCTGTCTCCTTTCTTGGTAGTTCTTACATCTCCACGTGCACAGGATCACTAATCTTTGAGGCTTCTCCATGAGGTTGCTTATGGATGTTGGTGGTGTATTCTTGAGGTGGTATGTTCTTTTTAGTGTCTGACGGTCCTTATTTCCACTCTGTGAGGACCATTCTGCCCAAATTGGAAAGGAGCGTCCCGAGGGATGGTGGGAAGGGACAGTTGGCTTCTTCCTGACCATTTTTAAGTATGTGGTCGAATTATGTTAAGTTCTTTATGCAGACAGT